CAAACACCCATAAAGATATTAGAAGTAAAATACCACTAAATCAGAATTAGTTCAAACAATATGGTAGCACAGCATAACATACCCACAATGCACACTCATTGACTCCCTTATGTCATATGAATCATCCCTTTGGCTCAATGAAGGATACCCACCAAACTCCGAACCCCCAAACTCAGTTTTTTCCAATTTGTCTTCATGTATATAAGTTAAGTTCTTAATAATGGGAGAAAATGAAGGTGCGGTTGGCATCAATGCAATAGCCTCTTCAACAGGAAGGTAGCAGACTGGGCATGCTGAAAAGAAGGGCAAGGAATTTCTTTCATTTAATAGGTACTTAGAACATATAACAAAGTCTAAAGCTAGGAACTCCATACTCACGCCGTGGTCCAGTCCTTTTCTTGTCTGCTGGTGGTGGGGGTAATGTAAAACCTTCGCAAGGATTCCCGGGAGGAAGAGTATATCCCATAAAATATACAGGAGGAGGATAGTTATTGGATGGAATTCTTCCATTACTAATTGGTTCAGCTGAAACACTTTGAGGAACATTTTTCCATTCATGCTCTATAAAAAAGTTTCTACTTCTATTTGTATCATTGATGCTGATGCTAGACATTCCTTGGGAATCTTCACCTACAAACAAGAAAAAAAGGTGCATAGATAGTCGGTTAGATAAGAAAGTTTTAGGCATGACCAAATGAGAGAAATACTAATGTCATGTAAAACTTAGGCGAAGACGCAAAGTAACCTATGAGTGTCCCTGTGAATGAAATGCAACATCGTAGGAAAACCGCAAAGTAACTTATGAGGGTCCATATGAATGAAATGCAACATTATAGGAAAACACATGATGAAATTTACACTTTACAATCTGGATGTCCCAAAATAAAGTTGAAACTTCTCCACTTTCCTTTTAAGATATGAATATGTGGTTCTTATCATTTCTCTCCCTCCTAAAAAAATTCAACCACACGCCTTTCACTTTTCACCAAACACCTTTCGTTTTTCAACACTTTTCTTAAACTCTAGAAAGTGAGAGTCTAAACTTCATTTTGGGATGGAGGGAGTATTACAGTAGAATAAAATGAAATACAAAATAATTCCCAACCAAAGTTTCTGAAGCTATATTCATGCATCTTGCTGCTAAAGATTTATAAATGCAGTTGAGAAGACAAGAAACCTCACCTTTGCCACACAACTGATACGAGATCCAAACACAAACAATAAACAGAAATATGCAAATTAAGAGGGTATAAAGAAAAAAGGGCAAGCAGATAAACGTGATTGGAAAATATAAGGAACTAAACCTTTGCCAACAAACAAGACCAAAATAAAAACGGCAGCAGAAACAACACACAAGAGCAACATGCCAATCTTCCTTCGAGGTGCAAATTTGAAGATCCAATGAAACAGCCCTTCCTTCTCCTTAAACATCTTCGGAGGTTTTCTTGGTGGTTGTATAAGTGGTGAAGTTTGGATTGAAAATGAACCGTTCTGAAATTGATGTAGCTGCAAAGAACCATAACTTCCGGAAGAACGAAGACCGGTTGACCCAGCATTCATTGTTCTCCTCCCACTTTACCTCTTATCCCCTCCTCTTCTCCTCATCTACACAAGGAAAATTCAATCAAGTCTGATAGGAAAGTATTCTACCTCTATTTACTAAGAGGATCTCCAATTTTTCATAGAAAATCTCACATAAGCATAGTTCAACTAGTTTTGATAGCAATGATCTCCGGACTTGATAAAGTATGAAATGAAAAATAATACTGAATCTCACATAAAAGTATATTTAAAAAAAAAATTAAAAAAGAAAACAGCATACAATTTGAGCTACCAAAAAAAACTAATGGCTAGCCAAAACAACTCTTCTTAATTCCAGACTCCAGAGACATCTCAACTTCATACACAATGGAGTAATATAATGGATAAACCCCTAAAGTTTATCCTTGCCAACAATTATAGACTGAAATCAAATATTACACAATCTAAAATAAAAATCAAGGAAACTGGATATGAAAAAAATAGCATGGAGTTTCAATAACATAAATAAAGATTATCTCTACCAGAGCAAGATTTCGGTCACTGAAACAAAAAGGGAAGCAACTTATACGGCGGTTATATGTTGTTTCCCAAACAAGATTAATACTAGGAGAGAAGGTGGCATTCTAAACTATAATTATTTAATTATAATACCTGACCAGAATCCAAAATGTCCTGTATCAGCTATTGTCATCCAAACACTACAAATCAGTTCCCCTTTCCGAAGATTGTTATCACACAAGCAGTGGGACACAGAATCATTTCAAGTTACTGAAGAATGTCCCAAAATATAAAATGAAAAAAGCATTAGTATGTCAACTTGCCAAGTAATTTTTGAATATGCAGACTGTAATTACAATGTCAAAGCTGCAAAACCTGTGTTTAGCACTCCTGGAGTGACTCATTGTGATAGAAGACCGATACTTATATGCATAGTATTGATAATAAGTGCAACATATTATGTGTTGAAATTCACATACTTCATTGGAAAGAATGTGACTTTGAGTCTTTGGCACACAAGGGAAAAAAACAACTCAAAAACTAAGAAGCAATTTGGTACCAAATACTCCATACGTAAGTGTGGGTATCATCAGCTTGGCATTACACCTGGATCATTGGATGCACCCGTGCATACAGGGGCAGATCCAGATTAGATTTAAACGATGCCAAATTTTTTACACAAAAATGTCTCTCCTAATATTCGAATTAGAGTATTTTAAAAATAGAAATAGCATTTCAAAGGGGTCCCATTTCACCAACTTAAACAACTTCTTTGTGTAACTTGCACAAAAAAAACTTCAAATAGTAAATTTAGTTAAAACAGATATTAAAAAGCACATAAATCAAAGAAGACTATCATTCATGGATGAAAGAAGGGGTATATGTTAAAAAGCAAAGTAAATCATATCTATACACATCCGTTTATGGCTGTAGAGCCAAAATCAAAAATCAAACAATATAAGAGCAATTGAAATTCATTGAAAAAGAGAAGTTCCTATCTCAGATAAATGCATTCTTACTGCTCTTGACGATATGGAAGCATCATTCAACGAAACATGAGAGTTTCCATTCCTATGAAATCAAAAACAAAAATAAACCTTAAAGAAAATCATAGTCGAGCAATATCCTGCAGGGGAATTGTGCAGACGACCTGGCCTAAACACACAGATGCAGACTTAATCGGAATATACGGAATACATATAATAATATAAAAATGGCAAATCTAAAAAAACACAGATGCAAACTTACCCTGGCAAAATTAGGGTTTTTCAGAAATGTTGGGGACCCTAGAGGCGTCGAGTGGAGGACCTGCGAGGCTGCGAGCGGCGGATCCCGGAGGTTGCGAACGAGAGAGAGAGAGAGAGAGAGAGAGAGAGAGAGAGAGAGAGATCAAACGGCGACCAGGGAGTCAGGGCATAGTCCGTTCGTCAGGCTCGTCTGTCGCTCCAGTCGTGGCGGGAGTAAATTTTAGGCCTGCTGACATGTCATTGTTTTCTACTCTCACGAGCTCCCAAAAAAATGTAAAATAATGTTGGGTGATCCGTAGCTCAGCGGTTGACATAAAACTGAATCTCAAATTCGAAGTATGGTCGGTGCGATGAGATGCGATCATTCAAAATATGATGTCTCTACGAGTACCATGCATGGAATTCTATCAGGACGCCAACTGCCCTGACTGAAATTATAGTTTACTCATCTAACCGTCGTGAAAGCCCTCGAAAATAGGGTTCATGATTTTCAAAAAATGTACCGTAAAAGCTATATATCACATAGAGCGAAAGCGTCCTCGAATGCGAGTGTTATAATTTTTAAAAAAACACAAGTGTGGATGCGCGTTAAAGCATCAATTAAAAAATTAAAAAAAATGTTTATACATATATATATTAATACTTCAAAATTTCTCGTATTTTTAATGATATTAACCTTATTGGTTCGAACAATATATATGTCATGTACACAATCATTTTCTTGAACTCTAAATTTGTATTATTTCTTATAGTCAATTTAAAGAATGATCATATACAAAGTATAATTTAAACATAAAACACACCGAGTATGTCATGAGGATACTAGAATCTTATACATGTAAATAATGAAGTGATATGATTTTAAAAGAATTTCAAATTAGAAAAAACTCTTAGAAATTAAGGAAAATAAATTATATGGAATTTTAAACAAGAAAAAAAAGAAAAAGAAATAATTCTCATTTGAAATGTAAAATAAAAAAGGATCAATGTAGCAATAAAGTTATTATTGTTAATTAACAATGGTGAGAGCAATTGACTAAAATTATATGCAGAAGAAAGAATTGAATTACTTCAAAAAAAAATTGTTTTAAATTGGTGTGTAGAAAAGAAGATGTTGACTTAGTAATAAGTGCATGACGTTTTTTTGGATGAGTAATATCATCTTAATGTTTACAATTAACTTTTGAGGTAACAAATTAGTCCGTATATATCTATATTTTAGCCATGATTTACGTTAAGAATATACTCGTATTGAATGGCAAAATTCACAAGAACACTCTCAGAAATTAGAGATTTTACATAAATACTCCCAAATTTGTTTATTTACACCATTACTCCCACATTTCTCTTTTATTTACATCGTTACTCCGCGATTGCTTCATCATCAGTGTTTCTCGGGTGCCTCTTTTTATACGGGGTTTTTCATCTTTTTTTATTGAATTCAAATTAAATTAATATGAACAGACTTGATATTAATCATTAAAAAGATTTAAGAAGTTTGAAATCTCAATTTTTTTAAAAGTGATGGAAATAAGGGCAATAATTAGGCTTACTAAGACGTGAGAAAGACGGTGGAGAGAATAAGTTGAAGTGATTTTAGTATATTAGAGTGAAAAAAATACTTGTCTGCGTTTTAACTGTTCACTTAACGCAAAAATGACACATCCAAGTAACACTAATGATCACTACCAAATTTGGGAGTAACAACGTAAATAAAAGAGAAATGTGGGAGTAATGATGTGAATAAACAAATTTGGGAGTATTTATGTAAAATCTGTGATTTCTGAGAGTATTCTTGTCAATTTTGCCATATTGAATTATAAAGATTGAAGAGGTACGTATAGATTTATTTAGCCACGCTTTCTTTTTATCAAAACGAAATTTGAAAAGTAAGTAAATTATTTTCAATTGGACCAAAAAAATATGAAGTACCCCGAAGTATATGTAAAATGGAGGAGGTTCGAGTGACATTAGTTTTTCATGTCACGTCATCCTATGACATGGGTCTCGTTTGGAGCACCCACGCTCCTCCATTTAACAAATTGATGATTCCTACTCCCGTAATTCCCTCACCCCTAGCCTACTCACTCCAATTGCACCCCATAGAATTTAGTTGACTTTGGAGTCAAAAGTTGACTCTAAAGTCAACTAATTTTTGTTGTGTGCAATTCGAAGGGGTAGGGGGTCGGGTCGGACCGATGTACGAACCATCAATTTTTGAAACGGAGCACCCTAGATGTCCGACTCATCCTATGACATTGAAGTTAAATGTCACTTGAACCGTAGTGATATGAAATTATTTTTCGGCCGAGAAGTATATGTGGTAATACAACAACCACAATGATATTGCCTTATTCTAATAGATAAGTCGGCTACATGGATGAAACGAAGTCATTGTGCCATCTATTGAGAAGTGTGTGTGGGGGGGGGGGTAAAAATCAAACAAACTTAAATTGATTGGCAATTAGTCTAATTATGGAATATTGTTGGCACATTACATCACAAAATACAAATATGGGTAGTTTAATGTTTCCAAGTAAATAAATGGGATTATATGTAATTAAGGCAAGATGATTGTCCGCGCAGCAGCACTGAATAGCGTAAATGACCCCCCTAACTCCGCTCCTTAATGATGACTAATTAATGAACTTATTTAATGATTGTGAAGTGTTAGTTGGAATCTTGAAGTGCTCACAATGCACGAAAACAAACACATCTCCATTGAAATAAAACTAGTTTTTATGCGGTGTTTTATTATAGAGACTCGTTTGTTTCCATATAATGTATAAATGAATGGTATTGTTTAGTTAATACTCCAACCTATAATATTTCGTTCGCAAAAATGATAATTCATACTCCTTTATTCCTCATCCAGTCTGGACTTGACTCATCCCTCCACCACCGTCAATTCTACTCCAGAAGATTAGTTGACATTGTAATAAAAAACTGATGACTCCAAAATCAACCAAACTTACAGTGTGTTTTTGACGAGGATGGGGAATGGATTCGGGTCGAGAATGTGTGATGGGTTTACTAGGGAGTTAAAGGGATAGAAACCATCATTTTTTTCCAACGAAGCACCATAGATGCTCCAAATGTGCGAGTATCATTCGTTGACACTGGATGCTAGTGTTAATCGAACCGCCCGATATACGAATATGGTAACAATAAATGAAATTAAAAATATTACTTTGGTCTTAAAAGAATTATTATTTTTTTGTTAATTTTGTGAGCTTTTGAATTACCCTCATGCTTTTATCCCTTTACGCAACCAAAATTCATATTTTTGATTGAGACTTTTTAGACCTAAGATTTTGATGGGAGCATTTTACAAATTTTGAAATACGTTTTATACTCTAAAATTTTTAGTTTTGGAAATTCTCATATAAATTATAAGCTCATTGAATCAATGCTAATCTTAATGGCTTTCTCTATACTTATACCATAGTCAAAACTGATTATATTCCCTCCGTCCCTCAGTGTTTGTCCATTTTTTACTTTTTTTGTCAAAATTGGTAAACTTTGACCTAAAATTAAATAAAAATGATATTAGATATTGATACAAAAAGAGTTTTATTAGATTTATTATAGTATTTTCAAAATATTATTTTAATTAATTAAAATACAATATATATTTTATTTAATTATAGGTCAAAGGTTGAAAACAGTTGACCGAAAAAAATCAAAACTGGACAAATACTCAGGGACGGAGATAATAAGTTGTTTTTAACTTATTTACTTCAGAGTATTAGTTGATGACGTATTTCTATGTACTTAATTATGAGCTGATTATAAACAGCTTATAAGTATAAAATAGGTAGGTCTTACATACTTTTCTTTAAGCTAATTTTTTTCGATTTTCGGTTTTTGACCGGATTATTTACAAAACTATCTCTCGCCATTCATGAATATCCTCGATTGACTTATCTATCATTATATGTTAGGATAATTTATCTAAATATGACTAAAACATAATAACTTTCTCAATGCAGGATCATATGTTTTTATCTAGAGAGAAGGACCAAAGTAGTAGTAAAACATAGGCATATCCTCAAAATAAGAGTTGAAACATAAACTCCCTTAAATAGGAGTAATTAACTTAATTAATCTAATGGCTTAGAGTTAAGAGGCAAGTAGAAGTAAAACATTGATCATGTACCAAAATAGAAATTGTATTCATATTACAAATATGAAATCAAATACATTTTATAAATTAAAAAAAACTAAATTTACTACAGCCCCTACCGCACATGTCACTATCGCCACCTTGCCGCCATTGTCGCTACTGTCGTGTTAGGCCCCCACTCCAAACAAATGGAAAGAAAAAGAAAAAAAAGAGCACACAATTTTTAACGTGGTTCGGCACCTCAAGACCTACTCCACGACCCCCTCTGGGATAAAATCTCACTAGTAATTTTTGCACGGAAAAATTACAAACCCTCTCCAATATTTGACACTCACAACCTAAAATCTAATACACAATTATATAGATTGAAGGATTGTGTTGTGTGATGGAAGCTTATATCTCCTCTTTATTTATAGGCTCCAATCCCTCCTCAATTTTCCTATCCCACCGATGTGGGACTTTGAAGTAACACTCAACAAATCTCCCCTTAATTCAAAGTCCTACATCATTTGCGATTTCTGCAGCGATACTCCCATCCTGCAGAATCTTCTGTCCAGCAGTACTCTTATCTACAGAGGAGATCATCTTCATAAGTGATCACATTTGCGAAAGAAGCTTCCTTCGATTTGCCCTTCTTCTCCTTTAGGATCTGCAAGTCCTCCTTGAGTTCTGGACAACCGTTCTTCGTGTGACCCAACTTTTCACAGTAATAGCACCTAACAGTGCTCATGTCTCTCAGCTGAGATCTTCTCCAAAGTTGGTCACTCTTCTTCTTCCTCTCTTTCTCAACACTCACAGCAGCTAGTAAATGACTGTCCCCGGAAGACTCTTCACCTCCCATCATCCTTTGACTCTCCTTCAAGGCAGTCGTCACCTCATCTAGTCGCAGTGTAGTCCTTCCTGCTATCATTGACTGCACAAACGGCTTAAAGGATTTTGGTAGTGAAGCCAGTAGAAGCAGCCCTTGCTCTTCATCCTTGATAGTCTCCCCTGCATTTAACAGCCTTGATACTTGCTCATTAAACTTGTTGATGTGATCAATTACGCTACCTCCCTCTTCCATCTTCAGTGAGTACAAGTCCATCCTCATCATCAACCGGTTAGTAAGTGTCTTCGACGCAAACTTGCTCTCCAACGTTTCCCACAGCTTCTTTGGTGATGTCTCTTTCAGCACTGTCACTTTAATCTGT